TAATCGTGTTTTCAATACTATTTATATATCAGCGAAACGTTATCTATTAGTGAGCTCTACATTGCCAATGAGTGATTGTTTATGAAGCATTTTTGTTGTGTCGCTATAGTCCCTGTTAAGTAATTTTTATACTGTAAAATATTGGACTTTTTTTTATAGAATATAATGCTTTACATACGTATAGGGTTGTAGTACCCACTCTAACCTACTAAATATCTAACAAAAGGTAGCATAGAGGCAGAACGATGTTGGGTGTTGATATTGACGGATGAACTGACATAGGACTGACTAAGTAAATGTGCAACAAATAAAACAAAATAAATAAGCGATTTTAGTCCATCATCTGTCTATCTATAGTTGTCTCACATACTTTGATTATTATACGAGACAAGAGAGAGGTCCGACACGCCCAACATAGGGCGCGGCCATTTTGAACCCTGTGACACAGTTTGCAGCTAAAGAATCAGATCGCTCACTCTGCGTCGGCACTTTGGATCTCAATGTTTCAGTTTATACACTGTGCAACTCGGATAATACAATATATGATAACCGTCTATAATAAAACAGCAGTCTTCTGCGTATCCTGAATTTGTATCCATGGAGTGGATGTTATTTTGGAATTTTCAACTGGTCCGAGTGAGCTAACTGATTCTTTAGCAATAAACTGTGACTTCAAAAATAATATTCACTGACACTGACAGCAGCAAGCAAAATATCAGGTGCGTTTTAATCATCCGCTTCTGCTTCCGGAATTGTCGGTTTGGTCGTTTTAACCTGTCAGATTAAAACAAGAAAACTGACAATTCCGAAGCAGAAGCGGATGATTAAAACGCACCTATTAAAAATATTGCGCCAAGATGTAGGCAACACGTAATAAGGGTTCAAAATGGCGGATTTTTCTATCTCCTTTTAAAAGGCACTCAGAAAGCTGCGCAGTGCGACCATTCTCCGTATAGTAAAAGAAAATCAAAGTATGTGAGTTGTCTTCAAAGATACCGGATAATAAATACGCCTTGTTTACAATGAATTTGTCCGCAACCTCTTTCTGAAGTACGCTCTTCCTATGTTGTCAGATCTCTTCCTTCAAATACCCTGCATTAATTTTTTATTAAAAAATTACTATTCCCTTTAATATAAACTATTAAAAAAAGAAAATTAAAGAATTGAAAGCATCAATATGAGTTTTTTATTCATTACAATAACTTAAAATTTTTATTTATCGTCATTTACACGTGTATCTTATGTGGATATTGAACATTCTGGTTTATAAGCTTTAAGTTTGGCAACCTAAGACATTTTGTTGACTGCGTCAAGAAGCTTAATTTTTATTGTGCTTTTTTGCAGTTTTTCCCAAACTATTTGTAATTTAGCATAGACGGAGGCATATATAAGAAATAAAGCTTGATTTATGTAACATTGTAAAGGCATGTATAAAATTGTGGGTAATACAAGTTCTAAAAAAGTTGTCATTCCGTTATGCAGACAACTCTGAAAGTAGGAGTGAGGTTCAATTCAAAGGATATGTTTTGGTAAGCTTCTTTTTATATATTTATATCTAAAATAAAGTTGTTTTACTGTTTTTGATATTTTTTATTTCATAAAAAAAGCTAGTCGTGACAATACCAATGTAAAAACTAGAAAGAAGATATATAATGCTTGGCATTCTATATTATACTTTTATTTAACAGACCTCCTTAACCTCCATGTTTAATCAGATTCTTTTCAAAATCAGAGATCTTTTTTCCCTTGTAGAACTTGATTTAGCCAAAAATTCGATATATCATTTTTCGTATTAACCCCCCTCCATTTTTATTCAGATTTTTTAAAAATCAATAGGCTTCGTCCCGTTATAGAGCTTGATTTTCCTGAAATGTTCAAGTTGATATCATTTTTCGTTTTTAACTTATCGTGCAGACAAAAAAACGTGTCATGGAACGGGCAGACAAAGTAAATCTATAATAATCTTCACAGACTAATGTGTAAAGAGTATAAAATAATAATAATAAATGGCTTTATATTTTTATTTGCTCTTCATGTATTTTTTTAACAATAATCTAGAATAACAAATTCGCAATTTAGCACTTTCAAATCAACGACGAACAACTACTGGACTAATTTTGTTTATAAAAATCGAATTGTAAACATTCACGGTGCCACGTAGTTGACAAATTATTAAGAGTATGTGTGAGTTATATTACAACGATTGTTAATGGTTATAATTATGTAATATTGACTTAACATAAGGTTCTAAAACGCACAAAAGGCTTTCAAAATTACATTAAGTAAATATTTTTGTATTATTAATGCCAGTTATTATCAGTTTATTGTATTTTTCTCGTGGCAAATATCATAGTTGAAGGTGATTTCCAGGAAAAATAGCAATTAATTTTGAGGTGTGAAGCGCAAAGCAAGCGTCATATACGTAAGTACTGATTCATTAATAAAACGCATGCTCGCTCCTCAGATAAACTAATTATTCCCACTCAGGGTTGCCAATCGTACGGTAATTACCGTACTTGTACGGTAATTTCGATTAATGTACGGTATACGGTCCAAAGTCATTACCGTACACAAAAGTACGGTATTTACATAAAAAGTACGGTAAACGTACGATATTTTCAACAGAATTAGCAAAGACTTTGAGTTGTGCAAGTAAGGACCGACTCCATTAAATTACTTAATGAAGATTAAAATGACATTGTCTAATGTAAAAATACCATTTTAATCTTTTTACAGCGCATGTTCTTCAGAAGGACCTGGTCTGCACAAAAATAATATAAGCCGAAGCCTTTTTTTTAGAAGCTAGATAGAAGGAATAGTCCAGGATCCGTAAGTAGGGTCGACCTTCACCCATCTGTTTAATGGAAAAAACTTATTTTTTATTAAATAAAATATGTTTTTAAATATACTGCAAATGGGTTGCCTAAGAAAATACGGTCACGCCCATTTTTTACTTTCCTTTCTGTGTACAGATAAGAAAAGTATAAAAATCATGATAAAAGTTGTTTATGATGTCATTATCTATTATTTTGTTCCTATATATGATTTTCCCAAAATGGACCTAATTCGAGATATTTGAGGAAAAGTGCAAATTTCGAATTTTGAAGACAACTCAAAAACGGACCAAGAGAAAAACACCAAATTTTAAATTTAAGCTTTAATCCATCCTGCAGTGAGCTGATTAAAGTTTGGGCATAGTTGAAGCATCTGGGGAATACTTTACAGGGTGTCGTTTTTTTTACTTTAAGAAAAAAAATACGCTGGACCGTATGTAATAAAAAGAAACTTTCATCCATTAAACAGATGGGTGAAGGTTGACCTTACTTCGGATCTTAGACTAGAATTAAACATTTTTTGTTACAAAATGAATCTGAGGACCTTTTTTTTTTTAGAAAAGATTTACACAATATAGTTTTTTTGTTACAAAATGAAACTGTACGGTACTGGGAGGCCATTTACGGTAATTTGAATTGCGCGGTACGGTAATGGTAATTAGACTTCAAATTTACAGCCGTCTCGTTCTTTCTAATGCGGCAGCCGATGCGATAGCTCGGTCTGCTTACTATGAAACACAATCTGAATGATTAAAATAAATAAGGGTTTAATTTTGAATGAGTGGATTAGTCTAGTAGTTTTTCGTCGTTGTTTTAAATCCTAATAAAATTGTTGCTCCAGTTTGAGCTGCTATTTTAAGCTATATTAAAATATACAGAACGATTTTTGGATACCCTCTGTATATATTGAAAATTGTTTCTTTAAATTTACCTTTGATTCAGAAGACCTATTAAATGTGTATACGTAATTAAGATTTGATCAATAAATAATTTTTATAAAATCTAAATTAACCCTCCCGAAACACTACGGTTATGTGCGACGTACCCACATACTTTGATTACGATGCGCTAGTTCAGTGATGATGTCACATACTTTGATTACTATACGGGACAAGAGAGAGGTCCGACACGCCCAACATACGGCGCGGCCATTTTGAACCCTATGACACAGTTTATAGCTAAAGAATCAGGTCGCTCACTCTGCGTCGGCACTTTTTATCTCAATGTTCCAGTTTATACACTGCGCAACTCAGATAATACAATATATGACAACCGCCTATAATAAAACAGCAGTCTTCAGCGTATCCTGAATTTGTATCCCTGGAGTGGATGTTATTTTGGAACTTTCAACTGGTCCGAGTGAGCTAACTGATTATTTAGCAATAAACTGTGACTGAATAATATTCATTGACACTGACAGCAGCAAGCAAAATATCAGGTGCGTTTTAATCATCCGCTTCTGCTTCCGGAATTGTCGGTTCAGTCGTTGTAACTTGTCAGATTAAAACAAGAAAATCGACAATTCCGAAGCAGCAGCGTATGATTAAAACGCACCTATTAAAAATATTGCGTCAAGATGTAGGCAACACGTAATAAGGGTTCAAAATGGCGGAGTTTTCTATCTCCTTTTAAAAGGCACTCAGAAAGCTGCGCAGTGCATCATTCTCCGTATACTAAAAGAAAATCAAAGTATGTGGACGTACCCCTTTCTCCGTCTGGTATATCATGCGGACAGAAGGTGTATTGGTTATACAGTGTGAAGGGCGAGTCTATCTTAGATAATAGCTTTGTTCGGCCTACTTTTGAGGACGGTTTAAAATCGTTATAATCATGCGCATTTTCGTGTTCGGGTTTCTCCAAATCTAGTCCTAGGACACTCTAGGATTGACTGTTTCGTGTGTAATTTAATGTGCAACTAATTTCACGCAGTTCTGAATCGTTCTGAACCGTTATAAAATTGGTAAGCCGAACAAAGCTAAAATGTTTCTGCACAAACACGTCAAATATTACCATCATCTGTTATACTATTTTACGCATATTTTTGAATTGGTTGGGTATACAAAGAGATAATAATAATCAACCAAAAAATACAGAACTTTATTATAAATAAAGTATAGGTAAGTTTGATTGATTTTATAATTTTATTGTAATATAAAATCATCTTACCTGAAATGTTAAGACCTTACTCTGTCCTTTGCAGAGCGTGAGACTGTTCGGCAGAGGCCCTGCTTGCAAGCTCAAATGGCGAAGCGGGATTCTTAGAGACATGGGCCCCTCTTGTACGGGGCCGCAAGTTGAAGACACCAATAATTGACCGCATCTTACGGACACCTTCCGAGGCCACCAATTTTTATCGTTTCCGATTTTCAGCAGAAGATCACCTGAAAATAAAAATAAACAAAAATAAAACAATATGTAATGTCAAAGTAAAAATAAATTATTTAATAAAATGAAAATGTCACACTTTTAATGGGTTTCCCACACCGACCAAAAATTGTATGCTTTTAAGCATTTTGTTCCATTGCGCCATTTTTGTAACTATACAGTATGACCGGGCCAATGAAGTAAATTGTTAAAAAATGTCCCATTTTAGATTTTGAAGATAAAAACATGTATTCAAAGGTACAATTTATTACATTGTACCAATCTTGTAACTTATGCCGAAAACTCAGTTCAAAATTATAAGAGCTATTTAATTGATTTGTTTAAAAATTTACGTTTTTTTTCGTTAAAAAAATACGTATTTATAAAACTTGGTTTTTATTTCAAAATTAAGTACCTATATATTTTATTAACTGTTAATTGAGAAAAATTCAAATAAACTAATCATTGTTCTAATGAATGAATAGGTACTAAAAATAATGGCAATTTTGCATACTTTACCTGTTTTATTCGTGAAAATGTAAAAATAAAAATTCTTCTAAATTGTTTAAAATGCAAACTAAATGAATAATACTATTTTTTTGAATTACAACAACAATCAGTACTACACTTTTTTAGAAATAATCAATAGCGTCACTACGGGAAGGGTAATGGGGGTAATTACCCCCAAGGGAAAAGTAAAAAAAAAATGGTTTGATACACCTTCTTCCGTCCTAAAGGAAAATCATGCAGAATTGAACAAAATGGCAGATAATTTAAGCCAAAATTTACAGCTTTCTTTGAAAGAAAGTATAGAGTATATTTTTAATAAATTAACACTATAGCTTGAGCTTTAGATTGAAAAATTCAAAACAACCGAAAAGCTGATTCAAGAAAGTACGGTGAATGTCTCGAAAATTTTTAATTTTAATTTAGCGTTACATTTGTTAAAGGTCATGCCCGTGAGGGAAATTTGAAATCTGAAATTTCTTTCTTGAAACGCCTCAAAACTTAAATAAGATTGACTATTATAGCTCAAGAGAAACTAGAAGGCTCAGCTCTATTTTACCTTCATCGAGAATATGAAACAGATTATGATGCTGTATTGAATAGTTATGCAACACAATTCATAAGGATCTGTAAATATTATAGATTTGAAAATGAATTTTTGTACCAGCCATTTTATTTTTATATTAGTTCCACTAGTATGATTTCTTGAATATTCCTTTCAATATAATGGAACCCTAAAGAATATGAATTTTATTTATGATTTTTATGCTTTGTTTTAATTTAGAATCTATTTTTATTTATCCTTCTATATTATTATATATTTTTTATATTTTTATTTTCAAATACCCCCACCAGAAACAATCGACTTTCTTGCCGATAGGGATAAATAAGTATGTACACCGTCCCTTCCCTACAGGGATTCACTCCTAAAGGGCTGAATTAGGGAAAGTTTTATTAATGTGTTTTAGTGACTTGGGTAATATAAAAACATACAGAAATATTTTTTAACGGAATAAAGCCTTCGTTTCATAACGATGTTATTTTTGTTACAAAATAATTAGATGCTACACTTGTAATTCAAATGGCCCAAAAATACGAACATATTTACCGGATGTAGAAAATGATGTTACTAAACACCAAAAAGAATGTTCAATTCTATTTAGAGAAAGATTTCGTTTGGTAGATGAATAATAAGGAATTTATTGAAAGAATGTTGGTTTTAGCACGCAGCCGCGAAAATCCATTGTTTTGAAATAGGGCTATACCTAAATCTTTCGGAAGAAAAATAAAAGAAAAAAATTTAGACGAATGAACCTTTATGCATATGTAAAGAAAAAGTATAGAACAAAAGTTATATAGCAAATGATATCGCAACCAACTTTTATTTGAACAATTTTCTTAAAAATTCGAATTTTTGACTTTTTGTCAAATTTCTCGAATACGATTCATTTTAGGGAAATCGTGTGAAAAACAATTATTACAGAGAATGATATCATAAAAAAATGTCTTAGCCAATTGTAAATAAGATATTTCTTAAAGTAAAAAAACGACAAACTATAAGTACCCGGTGTGGAAAACTTATTAAAAGTGCGAGATATTCTTTGTGTGAAATTTTCTTACCAAATAACACTCGAGGTTAAATTAAAAATCGTAAGGGTTTCCTGATTATTTTAAGCAAATGATCACTCGCCTGCGCCTAGAGACAATTTTCAAAATAATCATGATCACGCAAAAAATGTTTGCAAATTATTTAACATCCATGTAAAAATTTGAAAATTAATCTGTACTGTCTTTGCTTCAAAGCCTGAAGACAAAAAGATCCCTCTCTTCACGAAAACCTATTTGAAACATTACATGTCTCCCCCCTTCCCAAATATTTTTGAAAATAGGTACTTCATTAGTCGTTCAAGTTTTCTGTTAAATAGCTCACCTTTTCAAAATATTTAAAAAAAAATACTCTTGTTTCTAAGATTTTAACTGTAGAGTAAAAAATGTTGATTACCTATTGTTCAAAGTGTATATATGAGAAAATTATCCGCCAATTCGCAACATTGTACTAAAGTCTAAAGTCTCAGCCAAATGTCGAATATTTCTTATTTAAAAGGATAAAATTACATTCACATAATCAAACACACAAATAAATAAAGACGTTCTCTGTATGTAAACGGGTAATGGTTATTTTGTTTTGCATTTTAAGCAACTCGAGAATGCTGCGTTGACTCTTGATCCCCGTCAATAACTTCATTATTACAAACCCCGAAGTGCGAGAAGTGAATACGTAAGCAAAATCATTTTTCAGACGTCGACTTATAAGACCAACACCAACAATCCATGAGTCATCATCATCACAACCATTTTCAGTAAAACAATTAGAAATTATGGGACCAACAAACGCCCAGTCGTCTCTTGTTGCACATCATGAATAATACGAAGAATTTTGAAGGCTGGGTTCAAAAAAAACTTTGGGCAATCCTTAATTTTGCAATTGATGTATTCGTATGAATTATCTACCTAAAAATTGATTTCAGATTGGTTTAATTTTGAAATCTCTTCAAAGATTATTTTTATATTTATTATATTATTAGAAAAAAAAAATAATTCTGCTGAGTAACATTCAGGCAAATGGCAGTTGTTGTATGAGGTAAAAAATAAATAATAAATAATTATTTATGAGGTATTGAAAAGAATTATTAATTAATGGTTAGGGCTTAGGGCCTAAATTATTTCCGGAAATTTTTTCGAACTCACGAATATTTTGAAAATTATCCCGAGCCAAAGACGATGGATAATTTTCTTAAAATATTCGAGAGTGAGCAAAAATTTCCAGACAATAATTTTGGCACGTGTACGGTACGAAAATTTCAAAACTTGACAGATATGCATTAAAAAGACTAAAATCAAATTTGCAAAGTTGGCCATGCCAGTTATGCGTATTAGTCATATTTGAAGTCGTTTAGTCGACGCGGAAACCGTAATTATTAAGACGGTTTTTCATTAAAAAACAAACCCAAAACTCTTGTTTCCATCAAGCGGGATACATTTTGTTCCATTTTTGTTTTTGTTTTCGGCCCTTTTTCACTGGTTGTCGCGAGGAAGTTAGAACACATTTTTTCAATATTTTATTTATATTTTTATATTTATTTTATAAACTGAAAATACATATAAAAGTCTGGCTCCAACACACAGATATATATTCTACTAATAAATATACTTTTATAATGTATCCACCGTTTCAAAAAAATTGCTTATTTATAAAAAAATAAGTTATTTACTTATACCAATTTGACACAACATTTAGACTACACAACACGACCGTTTCCAGTAAACAGACTCGAGTTTCAAAACACGTCGAAACCTTTTGATGTTACCGCTTCCGAGCGGGACTCAACAAACAAAACACCAACTGTCTTTAATAAGTTTGCGAAAAGTTGGAGTTTTGTTTTTCGACACGAGTTTGTGTTTTGTTTTTGTTTTGTTCGTTTAGTGGAAAACGGCCATTATTTTACTTAAAATAAATATTGTGTATTTCTATCTACAGGGTGTAACAAAAAGGTAGGTCACAATGGAACCACATATTCTGGGGTCAGAAATAACTCGATTGAACATAACTTACCTTAATGTGTACACAAAAAAAGTTAAAGTCCTTGGAAAGTACAAACTGAAAATCAATTTTTTCCGATATTTCATGAACTGTTTAACATTTTGTAATGAAAATGGATACATGACTTTCTTGTCGTAAGAGCATCTTTTTCACATAAAACCTCGAAATCTGTACAGACCACAAAAAATTTAGGGGGCTTTTGAACCCCTAAAACCTCTCAAACTTTTCTATGCGTTACAATTAAATTAGTATTGTGACACAATTGATCTAATACATCATTTTCAAATTTTTTTGCCTCTTAGCACTTTTTCAAAAAGCCAGTTTTTATCGAGATGTGGCCTCTTTTTCATTATCCTTGAAAAAATTTGAAGTTGGCTTTCGATTATTGTGCATTGTAAGAGTAATTAGAAAAATTAAACTTTCTGTTACAATAGTTTACACGTTTGCAGAAATGGCAGATATGAATTTAATTCTGGGTAAGTTTGGTCAGGCTAAAACAAGGTTTCAGATAATTATCTGTAATTCTAGTAATCACAGGTGAATGCCAAGGGAATAGTGCAGCAGCTGCAAGGCGTTATGCGCAAAAATATTCCAATCGGAATACACCAGACTGACGATTATTTCTTTCCATTGACCGTTCTTTACGGGAGCCGGGTACTTTGCGACCACAACTTGCTGGTTTTGGACGACCACTATCGTCCAAAAATGGATACAAACGATAAGAAGATTTTAAAAACAGTCGAAGAAAACCCTGGAAGCAGTACAAGGGTAGTAGCTGCTCAATTAGATATTGGTTACATAATGGTTTGAAGAAGATTGAAGGGACAGCAGCTTCATCCCTATCACTTAACGTTCAAGAATTACTAGATGAAGATTATCCTAAAAGAATGGGATTTTGCGACTGGTTCT